CAGTGAAATATATAGTAAAATCATCAATCGGGATGGACCAAGTCACAATCCCCAATAGTGCACGATCCAACGCTCGTCATCAAGCGTGTGTTTCACTTCAATATAGCACTACGATGTACAATCCGGGGTTTCAAACCCTCAGAACATCATTTACAATCATTACTCACCTCGAACCAGCTAAATCTCTAGCTCGCGATGCCTTTGCCGCTCGAATCAACCTCCACTCGCATCGAATCTATCCAGAATCAGAACGAGGACGTCAAAATATGCTAAGGGAATGAAGCCCAAGCGAAAACAATCAATAAAGGGCACAAATCCCGAAATTACCAAAACCCGACCCCGGGCCCACGTCTCAAAATTCAAAAAATTTTACACCAATAGATTCGTTATCTTCCCACGAGTCCATACATATCAAAAACATCAAAATTCATCCACAAATGACCCTTCAAATCCCAAATGTTTGGTCTCCAATTTCAAGCCCTAGCTCTTTAATTTTAGGCTTAGATTCCATGATTTTCTATGTGGAATTCACATAATAATCGAGTTTTAAGTCCAAGAATCTTATCTCCAAGTGATTCCCCTCGAACCCCTCTTCAATCTCCTTCAAAAATCTCCAAAAACGACCAACTATGGAGGAAATGAGCCGCAAAATCGCGGACAAGACGAGTTAAAAACATTCTGCCCAGGCCTTAATTTCCTTCTTCGCGAATGCGGTCAAAGCCTCACTTTCGCGAAGCACAAAAATAACGTTGACCATAATCCTCTTACGCGAACGTGATGCTTTTCCCTGATGAACCTTCGCTAACGCGGTCCTTCCATCGCGAACGCGATGGGTTAATTTCCACTGAAGCTTGACCTTTCAATTCCTTCTATGCGAACGCGACTACGCACCCTCGAACGCGATACACAACCTCGCAACCCTTCGCAAATGCGTCACCTACCTCGCGAACGCGTAGGCTAAACTTTCACCTCCCTCAGCAGACTCTTCGCGAACACGAAGACCAAAATGTCTGCAACTGCTGGAACTCAAAATCTGTAATTTTTCAAACTTCAAAATGATCCGGTTGACCACCCGAAACTCACCCAAGGCCCTAGGGACCTCAACCAAAGGAACCAATATATCCTAAAACCCTATTCAAACTTTTTCCAATCATCAAAACACCTCAAACAATATCAAATCACCCAAAACACATCGGATTCAAACCTAAGTTTTTAAAATCTTCCAAATTCCATTTTTGATAAAAAACCCAACCAAACCACGTCCGAATGACCTGAAATTTTGCATACACATCCCAAATAATACAACGGAACTACTACAACTTTCTGAATTCCATTCCGACCCCTATATCAAAACCTCTCCTACCAACCGGAAATCGCCAAAATATCAACTTCACCAATTCAAGCCTAAATCTTCTCCGGACCTCCAAAATGCATTCCGATCATGATCTTAAGTCCCAAATCACCTCCCGAAGCTAACCAAACCATCGGAACTCACATCCTAGCCCTCTAACACATAAGTCAATATCCGGTTGATTTTTCCAACTTAAACTTCCTTAAAAGTGACTACATGTCTCAAACCTTACCAAAATTATTTCGGACTCGATCCGACCAACCCGATACCACAAAACACGGATAACAAAGCATAAAGAAGCAGAAATGGGAAAAACGGAGCGGTAACTCATGAGATGACTGGCCGGGTCGTCACACGAGGATAGAATTGTGCATTTTTATTGGATATCCAAAGGGAACGAAAGGAGGTTTGTTTTATTGTCCCAAAGAAAAGAAGGTAATTATTACGACAAATGCTAAATTTTTAGAAGAGGACTATTTAATGAACCATATTCCTAGATGTAAACTAGTTTTACATGAATTAAGCAATAGAGTAACTAATGACTCATCTCTAGTACGCATCGCGGAAGCTAGTATTGACACACCACTATATTATCGTAGTGGAAAAAATATCAATAGGCAGCAGAATGCACAAGAACTATTGCCTGACACTACCCCAAAGTAGTGGGAGTAATGTTGAGCATTCTTAGATTGTTGAGCAACCTGAAATTGTTGTACAACCTGCACTCGGGGAAGAAGTTAATGATATCCCAGCACCGCAAGGCATGGAGGATAACATTGAGGCTTCAGTTCCGGTGATGTTGTAGTTCAACAACAAAATCAAACTACACCTCTAGTGACTAGTCTTAGTGGGAGAATTATTAAAAAACCTCTCCGGTTTGCGCTCTTGGGAGAATTTATGATAGAATCCCTGAAGAGCCTAATACAGAACCTCTTAATTATGACGAAGCACTACAAGATACAGATGCTGATAAATGGGTCGTTGCTATGAAATCTGAAATGGAGTCCATGTACTCCAATCAAGTCTGGGTTCTTGTAGAACCACCTACTAGAGTCGAACCCTTTGGTTGTAGATGAATCTATAAGAAAAAGAGAGGAGTGGATGAAAAAGTGCAAACTTTCAAAGCTAGGCTTGTTGGAAAAAGGGTTAACTCAAAAAGAAGGGATCGATTATAAGGAAACCTTTTCGCCAGTAGCTATGCTAAAATCCATTAGGATTCTATTATCCATTGCTGCTCATTATGATTATGAGATTTGGCAAATGGATGTCAAGACGACTTTTCTTAATAGAAGTCTTGATGAGTGCATCTATATGGTACAACCAGTTGGTTTCATAAAAAATGACAAATGAGCACATGTTGTGTAAATTAAAGAAATCATTTATAGATTGAAACAAGCTTATAGTGCATGGAATACTTATTTTGACACAACGATTAAAACCTTCAGTTTTGATCAATGTGAAAATGAGTCTTGTGTCTATAAAAAGTGGGATGAAGATAAAGTTACATTTTTGGTTTTGTACGTAGATGATAATTTGCTCATAGGAAATAATGCGAGCATGTTGAATTCAGTAAAGGAACGGTTGTCCTCACGTTTTGATATGGAAGAGTTGGGACAAGCGGCACATATCCTTGGGATCAAGTTTATGCGATATCGCAAGCGAAGGATGTTAGGATTATCCCAAGCACTTTATATTGATACTATTCTCACCAGGTTTAGCATGCAAGATTCCCAGAAAGGTTTTCTTCCTTTTAGGCATGAAATCTCTCTGTCAAAAGATCAGTCCCCAAAAATAACTGATGAGATAGAAAATATGAAGGCGGTCCCTTATGCTTATGCTTTAGGAAGTCTCATGTATGCTATACTATGTACTAGACCTGATATTTGCTTTGTTGTTGGCATGGTTAGTAGATTTTAGTCTAATCTTGGACGATAACACTAAACTGCCATTAAACATATAATCAAGTACCTGAAAAGGACTAGGGATTATATGTTGGTGTATCACTCAAGTGATCTTGCACCCATTGGCTATATTGATTCAGATTTCCAGTCAGATAGAGATTCTAGAAAATCTACCTCAGGATATGTTTTTACCTTAGGAGGTAGAGCCATAAGTTGGAGAAGTATCAAGCAATCATGTGTTGTTGATTCCACCATGAGAGCTGAATATGTGGCTGCCCCTGAGGCAGCTAAAGAGGCTGTTTGGCTCGGGAACTTTCGAAAGAGCTTAATGTAGTTCCTTCGATTCAAGCACCAATTGTACTTTATTGTGACAATAGTGGTGCAGTTGCAAACTCGAAAGAACTAACAAGCCATAAAAGAAGTAAGCATATTGAGCGTAAATATCATAAAAGGAGTAAGCATATTGAGGTGATGCAAAAGTGTTGAAGATTGCGTCAGAGAACAATTTGGCAGACCCGTTTACAAAAACCTTGCCATAGAAGATTTTTGACAAGCATGTAGAATGAATGGGTATTAGAGTTGTAGACGCATGGTTATGAGTCTAAGTGGAAGATTGTTGGGATATACTATTAACCATGCGGTTTAGCAATAGTATTGTATTTTATTCTTTATGGAATAATTATTTATTTGATTAATTCAATTCAATAAAGTATTATTTTAAACAGATCATTTGTTAAATGTGTGTCCTTTAGTTATGTAGTAGACAATTTAGTGTATGGAGTCTTAGCTCATGCACAAAAAATTAAATTGTCGGTTCTCATAATTAATAAACTATGTTCAAAATCGAAGATATTGTGGGGCAAAATATCTTGATAATTGTAGCACGAGATTAAAGTATAATTTATCTTGATTATGAGAGTGATTTTACTCCAACTTCTTGTGCTAGTATTCTTAGTGTATATTGAACGGGCCAAGTAGAGAAAAGATATTTTTGTATTGAATATATATAAAATATTTTTTCTGATTCATTAAATGAGCTTCTACTCCTAATCTTGATATAGTTATCATGATCAATGTGATTTATTTATTGTTTTGATTTATCAAAAGGTACAACTCTATTCAGAGTTAGTGTATGCCTAATAGATTGGACAATGACGAATAACATTTATGAAAATAATAATTAGTTGATGAAATCTGTGACTGGTTTTTAGTTTGATGATATTATGTAAGCTTATAAATTTTCATGTGAAAACCCGACGGGTGGTTTTTGTATCCATCACATAAAATGATTTAAGCGAAATTGTAAAGGATTTAATTAGTTGATTAAACTAAATTATCAGAGATTTAGTTAATTAACTGGTATTGATAATCTTAACTTGGGGAGTTAAAAATAAGTGTTAATGAATTTCGAAATTCATATTGAGGAGTTCAATTGCAGTTTTTAGTGGAATAAACTGCGATTAATTATAATAGGATTTAATTCATCCGAATTTCGAATTAATACTATAACTGATAGTCTCTTATTGTTTCTGTGGTCCCTGCTACACCTAGTAAAAACCTGGACAAACTTGGGTAAAAAGTGACTTGGGAGAAAAGTCATCCTTTTGACTTAGAGTAGGATTCTACTTGCACTAACAGAATCCTACACGTTTTTAGCCTCCTTTTGACTTAATTTCAGGTCTACATAAGGAAGATATTTTTCACCTAATAACTCACTCTTCACAGTTGTATTTTTTCGCCCACTCAAACAATTTCGTCTAAGGTCTTGCAAGGAGCATAGCTGCAGCCTTGGATTCTTGTTCTATGGAGGTCTGTGCAACGTTTTTAAAAGGTTAGTGCTTCTAATCTTCGTATTAAATCATTATCTAATTTATATGTTTGTGATACTAAATTTGTACATTTGCTTTCGCTGCGCATTTTCTAACACTTGGTGAAGAAGAGGAGATGAAGAAGAAGGATCTGAAGAGTCAAATCGGCAAAGTCCATATATTAAATATCACCAATTACCACCAATTACGATCCATTCAACTAAGTTCACTCTAATTGTGGGACACGCTACATAATTTTCTGATTTCTTATTGCCAAAATGTGGCAAATGGACACCATTTGTACTTACAAGTGACGACAATACTTTGAGCCCAGTTGAATGGGTACACCTAGACGAAGCCAAATTCCTTGAAGCAGGATGGATTAAAAGGAATTAAATAGAGCCCAAATTCTAACTCTTAAATCTTTGCCAAAGCGGCCTCTGAATTGGATCTGCCAGCCAATTGCATGACGATTCAAATAAGTAAAAAGCGAAAGGTTAGTCAGTTCGAGAATTCTGAAATTTATATCTTACTGAATATATATATATATATATATATATATATATATATATATATATATATATATTGTAT